AGAGAGAGAGAGAGAGAGAGAGAGAGAGAGAGAGAGAGAGAGAGAGAGTTTATTCCAAGGATCTGCAAATTGCAAGAACGATCAGAGTCTGTCATACAACTAATTGATGCTGCATCTGCTTCATGGTCTGCTTCTCCATCTGTTCATCAATCAACTGGAGTGATACGGAAAAAGGAGAAGGGGGCGCGGGGGAAGGAAAGAGAAGCGAAAAAAAAAAAAAAAAAAAACAGTTTGCATAATCTACTCAGAATCCGAACAACCATTCCGTCAACCATCTGAAGAACAACTGTTCTATCCCCGGCTAACGAAGAATCCAGACAGAGACACAGACACACAGAGACAGAGAGACACAGAGAGAGAGAGAGAACTAGAGAGAGAAACGCAGAGAGACAGAGTCAGAGAGAGACAGAGAAAGTGACAGAAACACAGACACCGACAGAGAGAGAGAGAGAGGGGGAGAGAGAGAGAGAGAGAGAGAGAGAGAGAGAGAGAGAGAGAGAGAGAGAGAGAGAGAGAACATCAAGGAATCCCAAATGGATTTGTTCATCTTGGAGCAAGAAATGGTGACGGACATAGTGGTTCAAGAAAAGGATAGAACCGGATAGACAAAATAATAGGTGGAAAACGGAATGCAAAAAATTACGTTCAACCTCGTAAGGACTCGTGGGAGAGGCAGTGGCAGTCGCAGTCATACCTTTTGCCAGGGAATGTCCACCATAAGCGTCCCCGGTTCATCTTCAATGAGCCCTTGGTTGTACGCTTCGCGCATGCCAGGGTCCGTCAGGGTAGCCTTCGCCAGCTTCAGTATCTCGAGCCGTGTTGCCAGCCCCTCCTCGGTGAACCCCTCTGTCGGGGGGTTCGAAATCCGGGCATCATATGCACGGACAATAGCATCGGTCAAGAAATGTGTCTGTGCACCAAGCACCTGTACAATTGAAACTGGGAAACCATTATTTTCCGGCTGAAACTTGATCAGAAATCCATGCCGCCAATCTAAGATTTCATTTTCTATTATATTATTTATTATTCTTACTTTACTTCTAAATTTTGATTAACATTTTATGAACTTCTTATTTCATTATTATAATTATATTATTAAATTGTTACATTAATGTTTATTTTACAAATTTATCACATTTTTCTTCTGCTGCTCTCGCTGGTGTTGTCACTAACTGCTGCGGTCTTCAAGTCTCCTTCCCATCTTTTTCCTCTTTCCTCTTCCTCTTCCTCAGCCCATTGTTTTCTACCGCCTCTACTTCTCTTTCCCCTTGCTCCGCATTCCTCCTAATTGTTTCTTCGTTGACGTCCTCCTTCCTTTTGAATCCTTTTCCCCCCTCGTCCTTCCGTCCTCCTCCTCCCCCTCCTCCGTGCTTTCATTTCTGTCCTTTCCTCACTCCTTAACTGACATCATTTGTCCCCCTCCTCCCTCTCCTCATTCTCCACCTTGTTTCATTCTTCTTTCAGCCTATTCTCCCTCCTTCCTACTTGTACCACCTTCTTCCTTCTCTGCTTGCCTCCCGGCCCCTTCTCTCCCCCCCCCCCCCTCCTTTTTATTTGGCTTCCCTCTGCCCTTTTGTGCCTTCATCGTCCACTCTCCTCTTCCTTGCTACGTCCTCCTCCTCCTTCTCTCCTCCTTCCCCTCTACATCTCTCTACCCCAGAAGCATTCTCAAACAAACTTTCAACTTACAAAAAAAAAGATCCCTGATTCCAATCTCTCCTTTCAATTTCTGTTCCAATCAATTGAGTTCCCAGATCGTAGAGGAAAATGGAGGCAACTCCCAGCAAAATCAGCGAAGGGACAACGTGGAGCACAAACGACAGCAGCGGATGATGTCTTATCGGGGGGGGGGGGGGGGGGGGG